TATCTGTGCTGTTTGAAAAGTATCTTTCTGGTCACTCACTCCAACTGGAAATATCTCATCTATCTCATAAACCATACCAACCTTCTGATTCCTAAACAGCGTTATTTTACTATCAGACAAGTTGACAAATGACATCATAGGAACACTTGCACCCACGATACATACATGAGGAGCAAGTAATAATTTGACGTCAGGTTCTATAAGATAGCAAGCTGATTCTAAGGGATGATCTGTACTACATTGTATCCTTAAGACAGACCTTGTTGGAATTACAGTACGTCTAGCAATTCTTACCTGATTAATAGCTTGGACAGAGTTACCCTTATTTTCAATAAAAGGAATTCTTTGATCTTGTACACAAAATAAACTCTGTTTCATGTCAATTTCAACTTGGTACTTCGACATGAAATCCAATCCAATAAGCATGGCATCCTCAATAGGAGCAACATATACGTTTTCATTGAATTGAAGTCCTTTCATTTCTACAGTTGTAGGTTCAATCAAATATCCTTCCATGGACATATCTCTTCCAGCAGCATGCAAGGTAATATTCTTCACCACGCCTGGTCTATCTGGTAATGAATTGTATACCTTGTCAGATATGATGGTAACTTCTGAAGCTGTATCTATAATTCCTTCAACAGCAATTCCATGTATAGTTACGGGAATCATAATTGATGACTTTGATTTCAGCTGTCGAATGATTAAGGGCGTTTCTGTGTACTGCAGGCCGTCATCCCTATGGACCAGGTTAAGGCCTACTGGCCTGATCCCTTCTCGTTTAAAGTTGACGAAAAGGATACATGTTTAGCAGGTTTGTTTTCTGTATTCTTCTGTGGACAGTCTTTCGCAAAGTGTCCTAGACCATTGCAGTGGAAACATCTACCATTATTGGGTGATGGGGATCTACTTCTCACTGGTTTCTTTGATGAGACGTTTGTCGACTGTGGTTGTATTTTCTCTAGATGACGGACTAATGTGAAAATGCCATCCTTGATATCACCCATGTGCTTTGAGAGTTCGTTCAGCTGGGTATCCACTTTCTGTTTTTCTTCATTACTAGAAGGCTTTAGTTGTTTTGATCTTCTTACTTTGACAGTAGACATCTCATCTTCACTTGAACTTGCATGGTCTGAAGAAATGTATATCTCACGTACCTCTTTTTTAGGCTTGTCATAGATGCTCTGATGATTGAACTGGAAGCTTTTGATTTTATCTATAACTTGTTCTACGGAATCTAAATTTAGATTCACGACATACTGACCTGCTTCCTTATCAACACATCCATGACAAATTCTTTTCACAGCTTGTTGGTACATGTACTCTTCTGGTAACTCAGGGAAAGCACGTATAGACAATCGCATGACTCTGTCTGCCCAGTCCTCTATAGATTCCCTAGGCTTCTGTTTAGAGTTTGCTAATTGTACTTGTGTGCTGTGTCTGGTAATGGTACTCCACCAAACCTTTTCTCCAACTTGTTAAGGATTTCTGGAAAACCAATAGCTTGATTTCTGGCTACAATTGAAGCATAGAATTCACTGGCTTTACCTTCGAGGCACCAACACAAATAATCCTTTGCGATTTCTGGAGTCCAGTTCTTTACTTGGTAATATCTCATGAATTTGTGCTTAAATCCTAACCAATTATCTTTTCCATCATACTTCAGTCCCTTGGGAGCGTTATCATCTACCTGACGATTCTGTCCTCCTCTGTTTCTCTGGGGTGCCACAGGTTGATTTACTATTGGAGCAGGTTGGTTAACCGTCATTTGCTGACCTGGATTGATAGGTTGTTGATTATTTATTTGAGGTTGCGTTTGCAATAACTGATTACCTGTTGGAGGCTGCTGATTATTTTCTTGAGTCTGTTGCACCATATTACCACAGTATTGTTGCCCTTGATTACCCGGATTTTGTTGTACCATGTTCCCAAGGTTTGGTTGCATTTGATTACCTGGATTTTGTTGCCATGGGTAACCATAACCTTGAAACTGACTTACTTGTGGAATGCTTGGTGGGGGCACCGAAAACGGCATCCCACCAAATGGCATCCATGGGTTAGCATATACTTGTGACACTGGAGGTATAGATGGAGAATACTGCTGGTTCATTGCCTGATATGGTACATTAGGGTATTGAGATGGAAACATACCTTGAGGACTGTGTGGAGTTGCCATGGGTACGGTATACTGATATGGCATAATCCCACCTTGACTGGATTGAAACAATGTTGGTTGACCCGACCATAAAGATCCTTGAACAGGGTGACTTGGAATAGGCTGACCCTGCATGTACATGTGACCTTGCATGTTCTTGTCTGCATATGTATTCTGCATAGGTTGACCTAATAAAGGTTGACCTTGTGCTGAGGGGGTGGACATTGTTTGGGTACTGATAGGTTGACCATGTAAAGGTTGACCTTGCACTGAGTGGGTCGACATTGGTTGTGCAAAAATAGGTTGACCAGGTGTCATTTGAGTGGACATTGGTTGACACGATATAGTTTGACTGTATATTGATTGACCTTGCATAGGCTGCTGTGACATAGACAAGCCTTGCATACCTTGAGCTGGGATAGGCTGACCTATTTGAGTTGACATTGGTTGACATGACATAGTTTGACTATATTTTGATTGACCTTGCATAGGCTGCTGTGACATAGACAAGCCTTGCATACCTTGAGCTGGAATAGGCTGACCTAATGAAGGTTGACCTACTATTGACTGACCATGACCTGATGAAGGTTGACTTAACACAGGTAAATTAAATGTACTAGGTTGGCTTGTTACAAGGTGACCAGTAGTTGGTTGACTTGACACAGGCTTACCTTTGTTTTTCAGGACAGCACCCTTTGATTTATCAACTTGAAGACCAATAAGCTGGGCTTGTTCAAGGTCAAGTGTTTCTAATTTTACCCCAGGTACAGGCTGAATGTCTTTCTTAACACCTAATTTTTCATTTGCTATTTCATTTTTTGCATTCAGTAAGTTTTCAACATTGTCAATAATTTGTTTTGTTTGTTCTGGTTCATGTACTGGTGAGGACTCAGTTTCAATTGTTTCGTTCTCCACATCACCATCATCACTTTTTACCAAACTTGAATTCGGTTCAAAATCTATCATTTGTGACAATTCTTTGCTCTCTTTTACAAATTTAATGGTGACCAAATTTTCAGGTGTGATGTTACCATTAACAGCTCTGAAATACACAATGTTTTGAGCTGTTGCTTCACCCACTGATGGTAATGTTTTCAATTCTTCTACATTTGCATAATTGATTTTCACCTTTGTTTTCTCACCATTTTCATTGCCAGTTGCCATTTTGAATACACAAATTTTCACACAATTCAAAAATAATACTTTCCGGGGATTCCTGAAAGTCCTAGCACATACACTTCAACAATATGTTATTGCCATAAATAACAATGACAAATTGTCGACGATAATTTTTCACGAGTGCAAGTTTATCGTGTGAAAAATGTAAACATTGCAAATTAATTCAAAATATACTGCTTATTTCGTTTTCAGCTGTTGTAGAACCTCTGAAGTAACAAGCAATTTTCACAATATTAAATCGTGAAACCTGCTCAAAATTCTACAGTGACTACGCACGAAATTTGAACTAACTCACAAGTTATCAGTCAACGAGCGTTTAGTTCTGTTACCGGCGACGCCAATATAGAAAAAATACACTTTTACTTACTTTAGAATGTATTCTGTAATTACACTATAAGCAAGCAAGTACAAATATATAACAATACAATAAGCAAAGTTCTGCACGGGCTGGCGGGAAGAGAGTCTCTGTATATCTAATTTTAGAATCGGGAAAGTCCTTAAGTAAGTCGTACGAAAGTTCATTCTTTACAACACTTTTTTAATATTGTGAAGAAAAATGCAATTCCAAGTTAAAAACAAATATATATTGACCAAACATAAAAAAAACAGTGGCATATGTGAGAGTTTGTGTGCGTACAAATTATCTGGTATGAAAATGAGGTTTTCCTTTTATTAAAAAAAAATATACTTCATTTTGTTGTTTTTAATCGCTATTTTACGAAAACAGCGGTGTTCGTTTTTGGTTTTGACATTTATAACATAGTACTAGATTTACCGCTTTTGGCAGGTGATATTCCTGATTTAATAATGAATACGCAAGTTTCCTAAGGTTTTTTTATGCATTAATGACTTCATTTAAACCAAGAAAATGTTCATGAAAAGTTTAAATAAATTCTGTGCACCGGTAAAAAAGAAATTGCTAAAAATCCGTGACCGTCGGGCGTCGAGAAGATTAGATTCATCGCTTGCCGTCAGTATGTAAAGTTGTCGTTCGTATCTCTTTCATTGTAGGACGCTACACTAAAAATGAGTTCCATTACGAAAAACTTTCGAGGTTTTCTATAATTTAGTTTTACATTTAACGAAATCTAATATTCAAAATACGATTACTTTATCATTACATTTACTTATAATATGAAAATTATATCAATTCAGGAGAAAATTACATGAACTATTTGTGGCGAATGTTTATGCATGTTTTCTGTTGAATATCATAGGAGTAAATCAGCCTACACAGTAGCCTCGCTTGCGGCACTATATAATTAATGCAAATTACTGCGCATGTTAAATACATGATGCCAATGGGAGATTGAACATAGTTCAACTCCCAAAAAAGGGCTTAGTCGCCAAATTTAGTCGTCATGAACTAGTTTTAAGTCGTCGCGAATAAAAGTTGGTTTACAGTAATCATGTTTCAACTTGAATTGAGCACGAGTTAAAGAAAGCAAAATTGATAAAGTTTGATAGAAAAATTAAAAATATTGTTTATGGATTAAACAATAACATAACATGCACCTTGTTGATATTTCTGCCAGATGTCTCCGAGCTAACGAGCATTTCCAAAAAGTCCATGAGAGATAAATAACTAATCTCTAACACTGTACTAACTAGCAGTTTCCCAGAAATCCCTGAGAGATAAATAACCAATCATTAAATCTGTACTAACCAGCCATTTCCTAGAAGTCCCTGAGAGATGTCGTCTGGTAGGGGTGTCCTACACACTGCCCATTTGACCTTCTCGTCTCCTCGTTAAGATGTGGCGATTTCCGTCGGGCGTAGCCATTGTATGGGGGTCTTTGTGAAGGGTTTGTCCTCATTGATAAAGACAGAATATGGAATGGGAGGAAAGAAATCATCCACAAAATGGTCGTTGTGCTGAATTATATATAGTATAGGTTTACTCAGAGCATTTCTCTTAGATTGTACATATGTATAGATATATACTCAGTGTTCCTGATGGTTTTTGATGTTTTGTTAATGAATAGATATATAAACACATGAGCTTTGGAGGAAAACTTCATTGCCTAAAATTCATTGAGCATAAAATATTTAAATAGAGAAATTTCTGTTGTTGTCCTTTTTTCGTTCAAAGTCAAAAATTAAACAAAAGTTTGAAAAACAAAATGTATCCACATCTTTCCTATTTCAGATGATGCAAAAAATAAAAATAAAGATAAAAATAAAAAATCTGAAGCTACCTTTCAATGATACAATAAAAGAATATGAACTAGCTGCCAAAAATTCAATAATATTTATAATAAACAAAGCATCATTTTTTAAAGAAAGCTAGACATATTTTAATGCTTCTCTCTTCTAGTGTAATCCGTATAACATCTAATCAATTGAGATATTGTCGGCTATGTCTCATACAATAATGACTTTTTGAAGTTTAAATGATTATTATACCTACCATTTCAAAATGATGATGTCAAAAGCAATGGGGCTGTTTATAAAGCAAATATTCTGTGTTTGTTTGCCATAAAAACATTCGATCTTAAAATTTCCCAAGGGTATGAATGACTTATAGTAAATATCAATTACATGTGACTTTACTTTGTTGATAATGGGACAATAGAGATTATATCTGTATCATACTTAGAGAGATTTCAGTGAATGGCTACAGATGGTCATATTTCATCCCAGGTAGTCTCTATCAACAGTAACATTTAGCAAACATAATGACTAGTTGTGGTTCAGTCCAATAATTATTTTATATCAGTTGACATTTTTAACAGTTGACTTGTGTATTAGAATTGTCAATACATTTTCTATGTGATAAGTTTCATGCTGCATGTATAGATTTTCTGTATACATGGTATAATATTGGTAATTAGAATCCCTTCCTTTTATGAACATGGATATCATTAACTCAATAAGGAATCTTCCGGAAAGCTAGATTCATACATATACCTGTATACTAGTGGAAAATTTTATACTTTAAGCATTCAACCTTTTATATATGAATTTCTTTACGTTTTTGAGTTTCGTTTTACGGAAATGTCCGATCTATTCATAGTAATTTTTGCATGCACGAGTGATTTGGCGCTTACTATAAATAGTGTTCCAGGCGTGTTTTTGGTCATTGCGAAGTTCGTTACAAGATTACAAGGACATACATTTCCCTTCCCATCCCCACCCTAAGAACTATGCAATGCATTGTATTTAATCATGATATACGTGTACAGTTATGTTTTTGTCGATGTTGGTGTCATTTGATATAAATGTGTGTTATATATTAGTCATTAAAAGTTTGATTGTTGAATATAAATGCGATCTTGTAACGAACGCACCTAACCTAAACTATTTGTTGTTGTTTTTCAAACTAGTCAAGAAAAGATTTATTTTCGGAGGAGTTTACGAGGGAGAAAATAAGTATTTTTTTGTCCATGCTGCTTAATTCATAATGTGAAAAACATCAATATTGAAGTTGTAAAAGTCACATGTCTACAGAACAAAGTGATGTGTTACTAGTCACATGTCTACAGAACAAATTGTGATGTGTTACTAGTCACCTACCTGTCTATAGAATAACGTGATGTGTTACTAGTCACATGTCTACAGAACAAAGTGATGTGTTACTAGTCAACTGTCTACAGAACAAAGTGATGTGTTACTAGTCATCTACCTGTCTATAGAACAAAGCGCTGTGTTACTAGTCACCTGTCTACAGAACTAACTAATGTGTTACTAGACACCTACCTGTCTACAGAACAAAGTGATGTGTTGCCATAGTTCCAGGGCCTCGTTTTCCTCGATTTTTCGGATATCCTCCATCAGGAAGCTTGGTTGTCTTAGAGGAGTGATGAGATTTGGATCAAAGTGTTTCCTGTGGGATTTTTCACTTCCACACATCTGACAGTCTGCCATTTTCAGTGGATTTTTATATGTACTTTGTGAACAAGACCACGGTTTATCTTTCTCTAAACTCTTGTTATTCTTCTCAAGACTTTTGTCTTTGGCTTTTTCTAAACTTTTCACAAAATGGTCGTTGTGCTGAATTATAGATAGTATAGGTTTACTCAGAGCATTTCCCATAGATTGTACATATGTATAGATATATACTCAGTGTTTCTGGTGTTTTGTATATCCATTGTATGAATAGATGTACTCATGTAATTTGGATGAAAACTTCATTGTCTAAAACTCTATATAGAACATGAAACATCAAAATAGAATTTTTTTCATTGTTTCATTTTGTTGTTCAAAGTCAAGAAACCATAAATTGAAAGGACATTAATGTATCAACATTTTTCATATTTTAGATCTACTAAGTCAAGAGATGCAATAAATCGTAAGCTACCTTTAGAAAGATTAAAAAAGTTTGCGGCCAAAATTTAATTTCTATATATTATAAACAAAGCATCATTTTTTAAAGAAATTGTTATGGAATGCTGGACGTAAATGAAACTCTCTTCCAACCGTGTATTCTTTGTTTTCGTATAACATTTGATCAATTGAGATATTAACTCAATATATATATTAGCCTATCGAAAGCGTAATATTTATGATTTACGAAGTAGGTTGATAGATCAGGGTTCCCCAAATTAAGGACTTTTTAAATTAGTACGTGATCTTAGGTCCTCATAATTAAGGGAGCAGACTTGGGTTTTATTGTGTGGAAACTACATTAGAGAAACTCTTTATATTTTTATACCATATATAACTTACACTGACGTCAGTGCACATGCCAAGTTTAGGGAAAATCTACCGTCCAGGTAGTTTTAAGGGACTGTCTCAATTAAATACAGGTACATTTAATTACTATAGGATTATATGGGAAAGTGGTAATTTTTTCGCACTTTACAGCAAATTATACAAATACTACAATATATTTTTTCCTCAAGCTACAATATATTATGAGATATACTATAATGAACATTATATGTGACAAACACAAATTCTCCCGTCATGTTTCCAGAGGGAGCATTTAAAAATGCCAAAAATTGACATTTTCTGTTGTTATAGAGTACTATGAAATATGACAAATACAAAAGATTTATACGAAAAATTAAAAAAAAATGATGGGGAGATTCTCAAATATCTACGTTTTGAATTTCAAGAGCATATATCCATGACTTTTTTTCTTTTATAGAATTTTTATTACCCCTTCTTTGAGAGCTTCACGTTATCATAACGTCAAAAACACACCATTAAGACGTCAATAAACCTATCAGATGAAAAATCGTTTTGAAAATCAGTTATGTTAGATTTTGATTTATTCTTTTAACGGATAATTTTTTAGTTGTTATTTCATTTCAAATTAGTGAAAAAATGCTATAAGATATGCTTCATTTTACTATGATGCGCGAATATTGCGCAATAGAAACCCCTGTCTGCCCCCTTAATTGTATTTACGTCACAATGAATTTTCAATAATAACAAAATAATCTATTCTAAATTTTGAATTACATCTACAAAATGTACACACCCTCTTCCCTTACAGGCACACCGTTTTAACACCCCTTACACATACACACACGCACCTATCACGCACATATATAAACACACTATATGTATTCCAGTTTTTTTTTTTTCAGGAAATTTACAAACTGTTCCATGATAGCATACACGCTCTTTCGTCTTAACCATTAACACAAATTTGCTCAAGACGTCCATTGCAATATATTTTTTCATAATTGGATGTTTGAGGCACACCTTAGGCCGTTTATTCCTGACATCTCTATATTTGTACTGTACTATGGTATGCCCTTCTATCGACCCTGAACTGGTTGACGACGCAATTATTGCACAAACGAATCTCACAACTATTTCAGAAGTGCTGAAGTGGTTCTTGCTTGCAAATATCACATCGTACGACATCTTGGATTGTTGTCATTGTAGATTAAGGACACCTGCATTTTAATAGATAAACATTTATAAAACATGGCACAAAACAATAATATATATACAAATGAGCTTTGTATAATATAATGTATAAAGAGCCCTTTTGCAGCGGAGACTTTGAAAACGTTTTACTGGAAGGAACACTTGAGAACAGCACATACTTTCTGTAAGTTATTGTCAAACAAATTGATGAGACATGAATATCAACAGTTTCGTTAAAAGTTATCACTCGGTAAGTTCAATGACAATGCAAATACCGTCTATCATTACGTCAAATGTACTGAAGTTTTTCATACTAATTGTAAGGTATATTTTCATATTCATGTATTTCATCTTATCATCTTTTCTGTTAAAAGATGTGGATAAATTTAAGTCGGAATAGGCAGATGAAGTCCACGGAATTTGTAAAGTAAATATGCATAACAGGACTTAAGAAATATTTACCAGGCGGAGAATTACGAGCGAAAAATGATAAGACCCGATTATCTTTTTTACTTGGAATAGAAAAAATAAAAACAAAAAAGACACATAGATGGTTGATACGCTATCTGTCCAAAGTTAGTTACAATTAAAACTATCGTTTTATCTCACTCTATTGATGCTAAAACTTGATAGCTGTGTACACTGATTATAAATTAACAAGGCGCCTGTGCTTCGTATCAAGTAAAGCTTTTAATATGGCATAATGTTTTTTACACAGTACATGTAATGTGTCTCTTGTGCAGTTTATTTTTTCAAATGACTTATATCTAATTTTCAAAAAGACACCTCTAAGTTAATGCCTTTGTTTGTTGAATGAACAATTTTTAACTTTTTTGTTCTGTTTTTTTTTTAAGAAAAGAAGTGACAGGATAATTTTGCTTACCTTATTAACCCCAAGAAAGCATTAAAATTTATTCCTATTAATGTAAAAAAATAGTTTTAAATCAACCACAGTCTTTCTTTCAGTATTAATTTTATCAAGCATACGTTCCTTGGTTGTGAAACTTAAAACTGTTTTTATTTTAATAAAGCCCACACATGGGGTATGTTAGCACAACAAGAGTTAAACAATTGAACAACCAACCTGTAAAGAGTTAACATAATGAACAACAAAAAGATATTTAATATGGACAGTACTGACGGATGTCAAAATATTTTTAAAAAAAATAATGTTTATATTTTTGACAATGTAGGAAGGTCATATATGAAATAAATTAAAGCAGTTTAACAAAACTTAGTTAAATCTAATAGTTTAATTATATCAGAAGTATTCATCAAATCATTAAAATATATATGTATCATGTTTACGTTCATGTAAATATTGCTAGATATAAATTTCTGTCTTTCAATATTAAAAAGAGGACACTTAAAAACATAATAAAACTCATCACCAAGTTCGTTATTAATGCAGAGGTTGCATCGTCCCTCAGATCTATTAATGATACAAAATCTGTCAGCTTCAGTTGGCAACTTTGCTACTATATATTTTGTATTGTTTATGGACTTTGATATTGAATACTGTTCGTTATCTCCATATCCTTCTTATTACTGATTCAACGAAATTTACATAAATAAAAACGTAAACATTTGGTAACATGTTTAGATAATTTTTAAAAGCAAAATGACACTTGTACATTCTATAATTAAGGCATGTTGGAGAATTTATTTCATCAAAATTCCAGCCTTACACGCCACTTTTGCATGATTTATCAACATACTGACCATTCCACATTAGGTGTATTTCTATATTACAATCAAGTAAAATATTTTTAATTTTCATTAGGTTTTGGAATGGACAAAACCTTTAAACTAAACTTATACAAAATAGAGTACAATTTGCCAGTAACCAGTCATTCTAGACTTTATTAATATACTAAATGGTATTCTACCCAGCTCTTCAGCTAAAACACCTTACGACTTTTCAACTTTATACACAACCATTCCTCACGATAAATTAGTCAAGACTTTTTGATATCATTGATGACAGCTGCTTTTCAATAAAAATGGAACTTGTAAAGAAACGCTAACTTTCGATTCCCGCCTACATTTTGCACCCATTTAATTTAATATAAATGGCAATTTGTTTAATACAAAGGACAGTTCAATAGAAATTAACGATTTGTCTTAATACCAGCGCTAGACAGTAAATTATCCATTAATCCAGCTCTTGAAAAAGGGGGGTGGGCTATAGACGATATATACCATTGAAATAGAACTTTCAAGTAAAGTATCACCATATACATGATCAATTGTTATACCTTTAAAAAATTGTTCCTATACAAATCTGTACAGAAAAAAGTCTAACATTTTTAATGTTTTGCTGAGCGGGCATAAAAAAATCGATGTTGGACCGCTGAGTGAAATGTTGGACCGCTCGGAGAGATGTTGGACCGCTTACGTCACAGAATGGGCGGAGCTTAATCTCATTTTCATTCTTTGGCTTTAAACAGTGACAGATCTAATGTTACATTACGGAATATAGTACAAAATACATGTATGTCAAAAAATATAAAATAAAATGAAAGGTATAACAAAACATTTATTGACAGAGTTCTCGGGCAAAATGCGTTTTGTCGGACCCTCGAACCAAACTGTCTGCCTTCGGCCTAACGGCCTCAGGCAGACAGTTTGGATCTTGGGTCCGACAAAACGCATGTTGCCCTCGAACTCAGTCAATAAATGTATATTGTTCCTGATATCTTTTTGTATGTTTTGAGCAAATAAATAAAAAATAAATTAATTAATACAAAATAATGTTTCAGCTGTAAATCTCTTTAAAATTGGTGGAAAATAAGCATTTTTGTCGTAGTTTGTCTATAAACATATGACACCCCCCCCCCCCTGAAACACAAAAAAGCTTTGGTTTGAATTTGTGAAATAACAATCCATATTGCCTATAAAAAGGAATTTTTGTGTCGGGGTGGGGATGGGTGGAGGGGGGTACGTGTTTTAAAATTATTTTTCCGTTTTCCGTTGATTCTATAGTGAAAAGCACGAGTTTAACCAAAATTTTAGAGTTCTTCTCTTTATTTTCCCAAATAAGTAATGTTTTATGAAAATCCATACAATTATATATATAACTAGAAACTCTTGTTGCTATAGCAACAAAGAAGGTCTTCCGTTCTCCTCTTTTTATCTACATGAATGAGCTTTAATCGATGTTAAAAAGGCATATTTTTTTTAATGATTTCAGGAAAACAAACAGCCGAAAGTGTAACTTACCAAGATTCTTTACTTTACTTTAGACAATTATAATCCTAATAACATGTACAAAAATCATTTTCAATTTTTTATCACTTCCTGTGACGACCGGAAGGAACGGCGTACGCATTTTACCCTATATTTTTTGCCCAATCTTCATGTTGTTTTATTCATATAAGTTAAGTGTCTTGATCTGTTACTGTTTAACAGATCTCGCAATATTATCTTCTCATTTTGAGGACAAAAAATCACGTGACCGGAAGTAAATTTTTGAAAAGATATTTGATGTTACTCTAGATATTTCAGTCTAAATAACATGTCCTAAAATCATTTCTAATGCTCTTCTTATCAAAATATTTATGGGATAGTATAATACTAAATTTAGGCAGTTTTTCTTTCATAAGCGGAAGTTGTCCATTTTGTTTCCAGTGGTACTGACATATTTCAAAACTACAAAAAAGATGTTGTAATGTATTACTAAGAAAGATTCCATAAGAAAAGTTTTTATTCATTTGTTCACTTCCTGTGACAACCGGAAGTGACGGTGGACAATCTTTTCCTGACTAGTTTTGCCTACACATCAAGATCTACCACTTGTAAAAGTTTGGTGTCTTAATCTCTTACCCTTTACGAGATCTAGTTATGATAACTTCTCATTTTGAGGACAGGAAATCACGCAACTGGAAGTGAATTTTATAAAGATATATGGCGTTACTGAAGACAGTTACAGTCTTAAAAACATCCAAAAATCATTACAAATACTGCATCTATAAAAAATATTTACTGGAAAGAAAAATACTCAAATTATGAAGTTTTTCTCTTATAAACGGATGTTGTCTTCTTTGTTTCCGGTGTTACTGACTTATTTCAAAACTACAAATAAGATGCTATTATGTGATAAAAAAAGTTTCCATAAGGGAAAGTTGAATTTTTGGACTTCTTTGATCACTTCCTGTGACGACCGGAAGTGACGACAGACGATCTTATCCCCCTTGGGATTGCTAACTCATCAGGATATACCACTTGTCAAAGTTTGGTGTCTTAATCTCTTACTGTTTAAGAGATCTAGCTATAATAATTTCTCATTTTGAGGACAGGATATCACACGCAACCGGAAGTGGATTTAAAAAAAAATAGTTGATGTTACTGTAGACATTTGCAGTCTAAATAACATATCCAAAAACAGTTGCAAACACTTTATCTATAAAAAATATATATTGGAAAGAAAATATTCAAATTATTTAGTTTTTCTCTTATAACCGGAAGTTGTCGTTTTTGTTTCCGGTGGAGCTGATATGTTTTGAAACTACAAATAAAGTGCTATAATGTGATGCAATAAAAGTTCCATAAAAGAAAAGATGAAATTTCCGATTTTTTTACCACTTCCTGTGACGACCGGAAGTGACGGCTGACAATCTTAACCCATATGTTTTTCCTTTTTCGTCAAGATAAACCACTCCTATAAGTTTGGTGTCTACATCTCTTACCGTTTCAGAGATATAGCTATAAGAACTATTCATTTTGAGGACAGGAAATCACGCGACCGGAAGTGAATTTTCCAAAGATATTTGACGTAACTGTAGTCATTTGCAGTCTGAATAACACATCTAAAAATCATTTCAAAAACTTTATCTATAAAAAACATTTATGGGAAAGAAAAATACTAAAAATATGCCGTTTTTCTCTTATAACCGGAAGTTGTCGTTTTTGTTTCCGGTGGGACTGACATATTTCAAAACTACGAGTAAGATGCTATAATCTGATGCTAAAAAACTTTCAAAAAAGAAAAGTTG